TCGGTGGTGTGCGAATGAACGCTCGGAAAGAGATACACTGCGAGTTCACAGGTCGGAGTGCCCATGCGGGCGGTAACCCTTGGGAAGGAATCAATGCCCTCGACGCCTTGGTGACATCGTACAACAACGTGGCCGTACTGCGCCAGCAACTCCGCCCAGATGAGCGCATACACTGTGCTTTCCTGGATACACCCACAGTGGCCAACATAATTCCCTCGTATACTAAAGCGTACTGGCAGGTTCGCAGCCCGACATTGAAAGGGTTGAACCAACTTATGGTCAAAGTTCGGAATTGCATTGAGGCAGGTGCATTGGCTACAGGTTGTGAGGCCAAGATTATTGAGTAAGTCTGTCATCAACTGGACGAAAAGAAGGTGAGCTAACCGGACCAGGAACGAGTTGTATACCGACATCAAGATCAACGACACACTGTGCGACCGGTATAAAGCGCACATGTCCAAGTACGACCGGAATGTCATTGCGAGTCTTGAGAAGGTCATGACAGGATCATCGGATATCGGTAGGTGTTCATGCTTGTTGTCAGGATACCTTACTGACTTCTCTAGGCAATGTGAGCTACCTTGTCCCGACCCTACACACCATGTTTGGTATCACGGATGAACCAGGCTCCTTCCCCCATCATCCCAAATTTGCTGCAGCGGCTGGAACCGATTACGCTCACCAAGAGGCGGTGATTGTAGGCAAGTCGCTGGCGCTGATTGGGTGGGAGATGGTGACGAGCGATGAGTTGTTCGGGATTGCGCAGAAGCAGTGGAAGGAGTGTATCCAGGAGTAAGGCAGGATACACTGCCTCAACGACATTCTCGGCATCGAAGCACCACCTTATCTTTCGAGTGCATGCTCGGAACCACTCTCATGCTTGATGTCTTACAGACAGCCATCAGGATGTTTCTCGGTATATCCTCGGCGATATTACTCGGAGAAGGTGAAACATGGCGTCTGTCACTATGTTTGTATACCCGATAGAAGTATAATCTTTCTCAGCGCAGATCTCGAACGCACGATTGATGACCTTGACCCTGGCGATGCGCCAGCTACTAGTAGCTATGCTCAAAACACGGTGACTCCTTAGTGGGCGTCACTAAGACCAGGATGTGGACTTTAGCTCTGCGACGGGGCAAAACTACCCCAAACTGAGATCAGACCCCTCTCCAAGTCTGTAGAAATTCACCTTTCAGAGAAGCACACTTTCTAGATACTTGCTACCATCTTCAACTACTTTCTGTCCCCTAGCCAGCCCTGTACGAGTCAGTTCCCAGCTGCCCTGCCGCTGACTAAGCGCCTGGAATGTCATTTCGCTTCCAGTCAATTTTGTGTCCCTCCGAATTTCTTTTTCCCGATGAACTTTCCCGCTACATCACCCACTGCCCCTCGCTTAAATTCGTGATATCGGCTGTCTTCTTCTGCTTTTTACTAATGCCTGCCGGCTGATCCGATTCCTTCACGAGTGGGCCATTCATTCCATGTCGGGTCGGAACGCGCCTCGCTCGAAGAATGGTATGCCAACCCTTGCCCGAGTTCCCCGGAGTTGGCGGAAAGCTCGGGAAAGAAAGATCCTAGCGGACGGACAATTGTTGACTGACTGACTGACTCGCATCTTACAGGCTGCAGCACCTGCCGCCGTCGTAAAGTAAAATGCGGGGAGGAGCGTCCAGTCTGCAAACGCTGCTTCAATCTACGACTGAACTGTGAATGGGGGATCCCCGTTAAGCGCGGCAAGGCCAATGCCCCGGTTCGGCATCTGCAGCCCGCGCAACCTCGTTGGCCGACCAGCGATGGCATCACCACTTGCTCCTCCCCATCTGCGACCACTCCCTCTCCTGTTCGCGCTGCCGTGACCAACAGCATTCTTCATCCTCATTATGCCAACACTCTAGCTGCCCTCTGGCATCGGCAGTCCCCCGGACCAGCCCCGGATTTGACCCCGGTTTCCCCAGATGTCAGTTTCCCCACGGGATGGCCGTTTCCGCCCTATGCGCAATCATCGCCACTCTATCGGCCCCTGCCCGGAACAGGTGCTCTGCCCTGCACCAATTCGCTCGTCTTGTCGGAGCATGATCAGAAATACTTTCAGTACTTCCCTTCCTCGTCCGTGGTGTTCTATTACATGAAGAACTGGCAATGGAGCAGCTTCCGCTATCTGTATGAGGGGCCCGCGGCTACCAGCAAGGTCATCATGCGCATGATCTTGGCTTTGTCTGCAAGTGATATGCATCGGAATGGCCTGGTAGTCCGGTCACCAGGTCGTCCGACCGCTGAGGATCATGGCCGGTACCACTATGGCATGGCCGTCAAGGAGTTCCGGCAATTACTGGAAACCCCTAAACCTCAGGTGTCGTTTGCGGAGCTTGAGATGATCTTCGCAACCATGTTTCTTATGGTCGCATACGAATGGCAATTCGGTCATTGCGTGCGTCATCTCCACCTCCATCTGCAGGGCGTGCGGTCTTTGCTGGAAACACATCCGGAATTGTTCCATGTGCGCGATGTCAACGAGGTGTTGCTGGCAATGGAGGCGGACCAACCCAGTGATACGGTATCTAGGGCTTCGTTCATTTCGGACCAGTTCTTGCTATGGATACTGTAAGTATACTTCCTGCTTTAGTAGGCGTCGCTAATCGATCAGATACATCGATGTCAATCGTCGGTCGATCGGAACTACAGAGTCGCTCTACGACTACGTGCTCAACTCCGGCAATGAATCCCTTCACCCGGACCATCTGTATCGCTGCGCGCGGCTCTGGAGTAGATGCTTTTGGGGGAAGCAATATCCGGACCAGGAGGTATCGGACGACATGGAGAACTACCGGGGGCTGGAGTTTGTACACGTTGGATACACATTATGGCATAAGCTCTGGAAATGCTTGGACGAGAAACACACCGAGTCTGGTGACGCACTGTTCGCCGAGATGATGACGGTTCGAGATGTATGTCAACCTCTGGTATTATCGTAATCTCCATGCTAACCAGTACAGAAATATTCCGACCTTCTTTTGACCGCCAAACTCGCCAGCCCAGGCTCCACCCGCCGCACGCTCAATACCATCTACATGGCCGTGAACAACTTCTACGCCCTGATCCTCTTTCACCGTCGTCTCTTCGATACAGCCCGCCCACCAGCCGCACTGCATCGCCAAGCCCTCAACAACATCATCGACAACGCCCACAAACAATACGTCGCAGACCCGCGTCTCTTACGACGACTACACTGGCCACTCCTAATGGCCATTGTCGAAACCGACGACCCAGCACAACGCGAGTGGCTACGTGAGCGGCTCTACGAGCTGCGATCATTCCACTCAGAGCACCTATGGGCCTTTCAACTCGCAGAGGAGGTACTTGCTCGCCAGGACGCGAGCGCAGGGGAGTATGCGAATTTGGCGGAATTGCTGCGCAACCACCAGATCCGTTTGCAGTGATACCATATATATGATACCTTGTACACCAGATACTTTAATATGTAACCATTATATACATCATTCCATAATTGTCCTGGATTTATGACAAATTCTCCAAGAAATACGCATCATACGCAACCTCCCCCTTTGCCCTCGTCGCCCGTCCCACAATCACCCGGTTCGACATCCACCGGTACTTCTCATGTCCTGTCTCCAGTTTGATATGTAGATGGAACCAGTAACTCGCCGGATCGACACCATCGCCTTCCATCAACGCCTTTAGCACTTCGGGGGGTCCAGACCGGGTTCCTTCCGTCCTACACATGACCATCAACATTAGCATATACCATCTCCAACTTCCTCTTTCAACCCTCAAATAGATCACAATAGAGTAAATACCAACCTAACATAAATATACGCCCCATCCTCACTCTTAATCACATAATTCGTGTTCACATGCGTCGTCTGATTCTCTTCGACTAGCCTACCCCTCACAGTTAGTCTTCAATCCCAATCCAACTATTCAATCACCCAGTGAGGTATGAGTATGACATGGGATTAGGTACATAAAATCCGCTCCTCCCGGAACAACCTCTCCCACGAGATACTTCCCCCTCACGGTACCAGACTTGATGGGCACGCAGCGGCGGCGGCCGTACGGCCCCGTGCCGATTTCGAGGGGTGGGTCGACGGCGCACCGGAGTGTGAAGAGGTGGGTTAGGGTTGGGGGTGGGGAGATGGGCTCCATATATCTCTTTCTTGTTTTCGGTGGAGGTCAATTGGGGGGATTGAATTGAAAGGGAGAGAGTTAAGGATTTTGATGTGGATGTAGAGGTGTAGATTGGGGGTGAGTAGGAGTGTTATATGTATGTGAACGTGGTTGTGGTGTGCGTGGAGTACACCGGTGGAGAAGTATACTAATGGGAACGGATATCGGCAGTCGGGTGTGGGGGCCTCGGAGTAAGTTGGTGGTGGTGCTGGTAGATGCTGTAGTGTAGGGAGTTGTCTAGTACTAAGGGGATTGCAATTGGATTATGGATGTACAGTTGGTTTGTATATAGAGGGTGATGGCTGGAGTGGTGACATCATGTTTAAGTTGTTTTGAGTTGAGTGCTGATCATTGGATGGTATGTATTTTGGGACTGGGGGTTGGGATAATGTTGGGGTGCGCCATGAATTTGTACTTATTGTGATTGATGCTTTGGCAGCATGACCATTGAGTCTGAGTCAATGGAAGTGAGGACACAGATATTGGGTATATCATTTAATTATAGGTATGATTGTGGCCAACAGACGCATTTGATTTAATAGCTTGCCATAATTCAATGGATATATTAACAGCACACCCTAACGCCTGCCCAGACTAATTATGCACATATGCCAGTTTCCAACGACTGGTCTCCGCGTCGAGCGAGACTGCATCGCAATCTGCTCATCCATCAGGCGGGTATATTGTTACACGCTCGTTTGAAGATCGCATCCGCATGCGCACCCAAGCTCGCGATTCGCCAATAAGGACATGATGACCTTATGATTCTTTCTTCGCTTGACACCGGATAGAATGGATGATGGAGTATTCGTTTACGCGCCACCGACGAGGACGTTGTTAACGGGGATGTGGACTAGATTCAGTCAGTTTACCGATCTAGCAGGGGTTATTCCAATTGCAAGAGCAACATACTCAGCTTGACAATGTAACCGATGAATCCCATGATCAGGAAACCAGTACCGACAGCCTGGCTGATCTTGATGAACTCGCGCTTGTCGGCTATATAGCAAAACTTATTAGCTTGGAATCCAGGAGTGCTGCACAAAGCAACGGGCCAACTCACGCTTCTGGCTGCGGTGGACAAACTGCACGCCATCCCTAAGGAACTCCCGAGGGACGTTGAGGAGCTCTTGCACCTGGTCGGACATTTTGACGAAGCGAAGGAATGGATGCTGAGGTGTCAATGGAGGCGAGGTGAAATGGGGATGGATGGATGGACGCGAATGGGCCAGCTGTGCTCTTTTGGTGGTCGGCGAATAATGGCGTCGCTCGGTCGGACTCGAAAGGGGCGGATTATCTACTTTCCGAGGTCCTGGCCACGTATCAGTTGGTTGGTCACGGGTGTGGCTGAGTGCTTGTGGCACGGTCATCAATGTGGCTGGGGAGGGTCCCGGTTTACCCCGGATCGTATCCCGAGTTGCTCCATTGGGATAGATACTCTTTTCCGATTGTGGGGGTTCTCGTTCGCACTCTTCTTTTCTTCCATAATTCATCCTCGAGTTTACCTGAACGACCCTACTGTACATTGATGATTCTCAGCTACTAAATGGGCATGAAGTGCTAATAGCACCCATCGAGCGATGATACTAATCCTGACATACTAATTTCGACAGCTGCTACTTTGGAGGCGTGATGACGGCCAACGAAGCAATGTGCTGCACCAGACAAACTTGGCATCGCTCCTTGGAATTGCTGACCAAAAAACAATTGCGGGACGCCCTTGATGCGCGTTTTTTATGATCCATCATAATGAGCTCCAGACGCATGTGTTCACAGGCTAAAATCAGTGCGTATGGCTGCCTGACACCAACACCCATCGGCTATACACAAGTTATCACTCTCGTCTCCCTGAGGCCTGCAAAATATTATTCACAAGATTGCATAAAGGCAATCTACATCCTACCAATGGCTGTTTAGCTACAAACATCTATCTGTGATCCAATCCCTCAGGTCGGCCTGCATCTCTGCCGGACTAACTACTAGTCTCACCCCGCCGTGCTGCATCCAAATTGCAGCTGGTTGCACTTCCCTATCCGAGCATCGTCTTGCAGGAGCTGAGCTCGGCGATCGACATGATAGTGCATCCCGACCAATTATATCCGCCATGACTACTGAGCTGATAAGCTCTACAGGCTTGATTCGTTCTCATTCTGTCAGCACCAGATCCCGATACAAACTACTAGTACCCATCAGCCATGGACTATTGCGATATTTAAAATACCCCTCTCGTTTGCTCAACAGCGAGCACCAGGGACAGCCGGATTAACAGGCACAATGTCTGTCCAAACAGCTTGGGAAGCCTGCGACAAAATCGATACGCTATTCATTCTTGTCTGCTCTGTCTTCTGCTGGCTTATTATCCCAGCTGTCGGGCTCGCCTACTCTGGCTACTCCACTCGATTCAATAGCATTGCTTCGTTCTATCCCGGTCTTTTGGCGGTCGCCGTCTGCTCGATCCAATGGTGGATGCTGGGATATTCCCTCGCCTACGGTGAAGGCAATGGCTTCTTTGGGGGCTTCAGCAAAGTGTTTCATATCGGCGTCCTCGCTGAACCAGTTGGCTCGATTCCTGAGATTCTCTTCTCAGAGTTTCAGCTCATCTTCTGCGCGACCGTGTGCGCTATTGCAATTGGAGGAGCTTGTGAGCGCGGACGGCTTCTTCCATTAATTCCATTTATCTTTGTAAGAGCAGTCTCCTCGTCCCTCAACATTTGCTCATTTCTCTAGCTCTGGTGTACATTCATATATGCTCCTCTAGCCCACATGGTCTGGTCGGAGAACGGCTTTCTCGCGAATCTTGGTGCTCTCGACTTTGCCGGAGGCACTCCCGTGCATATTTGCAGCGGTGCCACCGCCACAGCAATGAGTGTATACCTTTCCTACCCCCTGTTTCGGTCGCGACGCTCTCAGATTCGAACCCCGCAGCACCTGTTATTGCATCGGCCACACAACACTTTGTGCCAACTGCTAGCCCTGATCATCATATGGAATGCGTGGCTTGCCTTTGACGCGGGAACTACGCTCGCTCTCAACTTCAAGAGTGTCATGACCGCCTGCGTGACGAATCTCTGCGCCTCCTCAGGCGCTCTCACCTGGGCGAGTCTGACCTACTGGGAGACCGGAAAGTGGAGCTTGGACAGCACTTTCTTAGGCGCGATCGCAGGACTCGTTCTAATCACGCCGAGCGCAGGCTTCATCGACATGAGCACGGCAATGGGTTTTGGCGTCCTAGGTGCTGCATGCGGGTACCAAGCTCTCAAAATCAAGTTCACAAAACGAGCGAAGCTTCTGCGCTGGGTCGACAACGGGGACACGTTTGCTACACACTGCCTGGGTGGGTTTTTGGGCACGATTGTAACTGGCCTATTTGCGCAACGAGAAGTCGCAGCATACGACGGCGTCACCGACATCGTCGGCGGGTGTTTCTTCGATGGCAACTGGAGACAGCTAGGAATACAAATCGTCGAAGCGCTGATCGGGTTTGTATGGAGCTTTGGGGGAAGCTACATTCTGTATGCCTTGGTGGACTGTGTGCCCGGTTTTGAGGTATTGGCGACGGATGAGTACGTGCACCGCCCCCAGCTTATGAACGCAACTAACTTTAGTAGGGACGTGATCGCGGGAATGGATAAATCCCAAATGGGCGAATCTCTGCACGAGGAACAATGGGCTGGAGAAGAAGATTACCATCCCTTCGAGGGAATTCGCTTGTAACATTCAAGTCAGCGCTAGCGCCGTCCAGTCAGAGTAACAACATTATTTTCCATCCTCTATATACCACCCTACTGCCAAAAATATAATCTAGTTGAAGACAACAGTCTTGTGTCCGTTGAGCAGGACTCTCCGCTCAGCGAAGTATTTCACGGCCGTAGCCAAGACATTGCTCTCAACGTTGGAACCAGCATGGGTCAACTCCTTGGGGCTCATAGCATGGTTGACGCGAACAACATTCTGCTCAATAATCGGACCCTCATCCAAATCACTGGTGACAAAGTGCGCAGTAGCACCGACAATCTTAACACCACGGTCGAAAGCCTGGTGGTAAGGCTTAGCACCCTTGAAGCTGGGCAAGAAACTGTGGTGGATGTTGATGATCTTTCCAGACATAGCCTCGCACAGCGTAGGCGACAGCACCTGCATGTAACGGGCCAGAACAACCAGATCGATGTTGTGTTCGCGGATCAGCTCCAAGATGCGTCCCTCCTGCTGGGGCTTGGTGTCGGCGGTGACGGGGAGATGCAAGAAGGGGATGTTGTAGGTAGCAGCCAGGGTAGCGAAATCGGGGTGGTTGGAGACGATCAGAGGGATCTCGATGGGGAGCTGGCCGGTCGAGGCGCGGAAGAGGAGGTCGTTGAGACAGTGGCCGATCTTGGAGACCATGATCAGCACGCGGGGCTTGGAGGAGGCGGGGACGAGCTGGAAGGTCATGGTCAGGGACTCGGCGGTGGGCTGGAAGGCGGCGCGCAGGTCGTCGAGGGACTTGGCAGGGGAGGATTCATCCTTGAAGTGCACGCGCATGAAGAAGCGCTGGCTGGTCGGGTCGCCATATTGGCTGCTGTCGATGATGTTGAGGTTTTGTTGCACCAGGTAGGCGGTCACGGCGTGCACGATGCCCGGGCGGTCGGGGCAAGAGAGGGTGAGGATGTAGCTCATTGTGGTGGTTGCTGCTGAGGGATACCGAGGTAGTGGGGTGATGTTGAATCAAGCAGTGGGTTGCTCTTAGGAATGACTTCAGTTCCTGACAACGAAGCAGAATTGAATTTCGGCCGTTGGGCGCCCCGCCGCGAAACAGCGAGGATCTTTGCCCGGTTTCGGTCATGATTTGATGACTCAGGCGGGGTGCGGTGATTGATAAGATTAGGGCTTGCCGGTAGGGCTACCCTGCAAGTCACATGGTCTGCACTGGATTTCCTCTTTGGGCTCGTGTGATGGTTGTCCCGTGCGGATTGCCGGATGCACAACGGCATTGTCTCCTGCTTATTGTGGCGGCGCCACCAGGCTGCCGGATTGCCATTTTGGTAAAGGGAACGGTCTCCTTCGAGGTCGCTTGTCACGATGGCTTCAAGATTGGGCAACGAGGAAGTCAGTCTACTCTACGTGCCATGCCGGGATGCGGTCCGTATAGCCGTAACATGTCCGTGATCATGGAGTTTTGAGATAGGCAGCATACATCTGCGAAGGTATAAAGAGCTCGATCTTCCCCTATGTTCATCATCACAGCATTCGCATTCATCACAGCAGAACTCAGAAGCCCAAGAGCTCAAGCAGTGAATCGCAATGTCTTCCTTTCAGATTTACCGAGCTGCTCTGCTGCTCTCCATTCTTGCCACTGCCAATGCTCAGCAGGTTGGAACCTACACCACTGAGACGCATCCGTCTTTGACCTGGCAAACCTGCACCAGCAGTGGCAGCTGCACTACTAATGACGGCGCGGTGGTCATTGATGCCAATTGGCGCTGGGTGCACTCGACCTCCAGCTCCACCAACTGCTACACTGGCAACGAGTGGGACACCTCGATCTGTACCGACGATGTGACCTGCGCCGCGAACTGCGCGCTCGATGGTGCCACTTACGAGGCGACCTACGGTGTGACTACCTCCGGCGACGAGCTGCGCCTGAACTTCGTCACCCAGGGCTCCAGCAAGAACATCGGATCCCGGTTGTACCTCATGAGTGATGACAGTACCTATGAGATGTTCAAGCTCCTCGGCCAGGAGTTCACATTTGACGTGGACGTGTCCAACCTCCCCTGCGGTCTCAACGGCGCGCTGTACTTCGTCGCCATGGACGCTGACGGCGGCACCTCGGAGTACTCTGGCAACAAGGCCGGCGCCAAATACGGTACCGGATACTGTGACTCGCAGTGCCCCCGCGACCTGAAGTTCATCAATGGCGAAGCCAACTGCGACGGCTGGGAGCCCTCTAGCAACAACGTCAACACCGGTGTTGGCGACCACGGCTCCTGCTGCCCTGAGATGGACATCTGGGAAGCGAACAGCATCTCCAACGCCTTCACCGCACACCCATGCGACTCCGTCAGCCAGACCATGTGCGACGGCGACTCCTGCGGTGGAACTTACAGCGCCAGCGGCGACCGCTACAGCGGCACTTGCGACCCCGACGGCTGCGACTACAACCCCTACCGTCTGGGCAACACGGACTTTTACGGTCCCGGCCTGACCGTCGACACGAACAGCCCCTTCACCGTCGTCACCCAGTTCATCACCGACGACGGCACCTCCTCCGGTACCCTGACCGAGATCAAGCGGTTGTACGTGCAAAACGGCGAGGTCATCGCCAACGGCGCCTCCACCTACTCCAGCGTCAACGGCAGCTCGATCACTTCCGATTTCTGTGAATCAGAAAAGACTCTGTTTGGCGATGAGAACGTGTTTGACACGCACGGCGGTCTCGCAGGCATGGGCGAGGCTATGGCAAATGGAATGGTCTTGGTCTTGAGTCTGTGGGATGACTACGCCGCTAACATGCTCTGGCTCGACAGCGACTACCCCGTCAACTCGTCGGCCTCGACACCGGGTGTGGCTCGCGGTACTTGTAGCACTGACTCGGGTGTCCCGGCTACTGTGGAGGCGGATTCACCCAATGCGTATGTCACGTACTCGAACATCAAGTTCGGGCCCATTGGCTCGACTTACTCCAGTGGATCTTCTTCCGGGTCGGGGTCTAGCTCCAGCTCCAGCTCTACTACCACGAAGGCGACTTCGACGACCTTGAAGACTACCACGACGACCAGCAGCGGTAGCAGTTCGACTTCGGCGGCACAGGCATATGGACAGTGTGGTGGACAGAGCTGGACGGGTCCGACCACTTGTGTGAGTGGATACACTTGCACGTATCAGAATGCGTACTACTCGCAGTGTTTGTAGATACCTTCTGGATGATAGTCGAGACGACAGTGTGGGGAAGGTTAGGGATTAGGTAGTGAATGGTAGTTAGCACACGTACTACAATTTAGTTAAGATTAGGGAGCAATATGACATGATCACTTGACATCGAATCTACCAATCACGTTCCTCAAATCACACTACAATATACCAATACTATATTAAATTAACTTCCCGTACCCGACGCCCAACCTAGGCACAAACCAATCAATCGATCAATCAACCCTCACCTAATAACTCCTTCCCCTCTCCTCACATATCTGCAGACCATCCGTGCGGAAAGCCTAAAGTAGTGCTGACATGACCAGCGCCAACCCCAGACACACCACATGGCTGGACGGGATATTCTCCGCACCCAATACATGCATCCTCTGCAGGAAGCTTGGCTTTAGTTTTCCGTTCCATTCCCCCTTTCCCGAAGCGATGACGATCCGGTCCTTTCCGGATCAGCAAAGGGGAAGAGCATGAACCAAGCTACCTACAAACCGGTTGGTTCTGGGTTTCTTTAGCTCACCCGTGACGAATTCGGTCGCCCGTTCTTGTTTAGGAAATGGGCCGATGGGTTTCTGATGGAGTGTTATGGATTGTCGGTCCGGCTGCCGGGTAGTTGGATAGTATTCTGGCAGAATGTGCGATTGTTGGTGATGGCATGGATATAAATGACTGACTTCATCTGTCTTGAGAGGATGGTATGAAGCACAGCCAGAGAAGAGAAGCGGAATCTGTGTGACAGAGCAAGATGAAGACTCTCTCCCTTGTAGCTGTCCTGCTCGTTCAAGCCTGGACTGCGAGTAGCAGTCCGAGAGCGAAGCGGTCTTCGGGCTTTCAATGTACCTATTCTTCCTCTACTGCCCTTTCTGAAGACACATGTTGATAAGTGAGCAGGGTTCGGTAGCAACGAGTCCGGTGCTGAATTCGGCTCCGGGAATATCCCCGGCACTTTGGGCACAGATTACATCTGGCCTGATGCGACGGCCATCGAGACGCTGCATAGTGCAGGGATGAATATCTTCCGTGTGCCGTTTCTCATGGAGCGATTGGTGCCTAATGAGTTGACTGGTGCGGCGGATGCGACGTATATGGCGGATTTGAAAGCTGTAAGTTACCTTCCTGGGTGTAAGATGCGCTGATGTTGATGATTAGGGGGGTGTGGTGTAGACGGTGCAAACCATTACAGATCTGGGTGCTTATGCTGTGGTTGATCCGCATAATTTCGGAAGATAGTATGCTCTTCCCTTCCTTCAGTCTGCTTCCCTATGGAACTAATATGATATGCTATCCAGCTACGGTAACATCATCACCTCAACCAGCGACTTCGCAGCCTTCTGGACCACCGTAGCCAGCGAGTTCACCGATAATGACCTGGTCATCTTCGATACCAGTACTTACCCTACCCTAACCCCCCAATCTTGAGAAGTGTATACTAATAGCGAGATAGACAACGAATTTCACGACGAAGACCAAACCCTCGTCCTGAACCTCAACCAGGCCGCCATCACGGCCATCCGCGCCACCGGCGCCACCACACAATACATCTTCGTCGAAGGCAACTCCTACACGGGCGCCTGGACCTGGACCACCACCAACACGAATCTCGTGAACCTGACCGACCCCAACGACCATCTCATCTACGAAATGCACCAGTACCTGGACAGCGATGGCTCGGGGACGAGTTCGACGTGCGTCAGCTCGACGATCGGTGCGGAGCGCATTGCCGATGCCACGAGCTGGCTGAGGGAGAATGGGAAGCAGGCGGTGCTAGGAGAGTTCGCGGGTGGCGCGAACAGTGTTTGTGAGGAGGCGGTCACTGGCATGTTGGATGCGATGGTCGATGCGAGTGATGTTTGGTTAGGGGGGATGTGGTGGTCTGCTGGACCTTGGTGGGGGGATTATATCTTTTCGTTGGAGCCGGATGATGGCATTGCGTATGAGTATTATTTGAGCGTGTTGGAGGGGTATACTCCTGGTTCATCCTCTTCTGGGTCTTCTACTACGAGTGCAGTGACGAGTGCCAGTAGTACCTCTACTACTGGGAGTGCTACTACAAGCAAGGTGACTACTACCACTGCTGCTGCTACAGCTACATCGACTGCTGTGGCTGCGCACTATGCGCAGTGTGGTGGGCAGGGATGGACTGGGGCGACGACTTGTGCGGATGGATATACCTGTACGGTGGAGAATGCGTGGTATTCTCAGTGTTTGTAACTGCTTAGCTCCATGTCGCAATGGAGTGAGAATGATATGTGATGTTGTATACCAACTACTGATAGTTTGGAGAGCTCGGCTAAGCGCGTTCCCGGCCGGCAATGGGAATTGCCGCGGATCTGCCCCGAAGGGTTTATCCATTTCTGCGGGGTGTGATTGGGTGTAGTCAGGCATATGCAGTGAGACAGGGTTAAGGCTATTTTATGTTGAGAATCATGCGCAGTTTGCATGATATTGATATGTATTTTCATAGTCCCTTCTACTTTCTACTTTACTTAGGGATGTTGTGGGTAGGCTGTGAGTGAGGTGGAGCACGTGTCTTTTCTGGGAAGAGTCTAATTTAATTGTTGTGATTTGACCGAGGCAGTTCAGAGACTTTCTGATTCGAAGAATATGTATGAAACGAAGTAAATAGTAGAGGAGTTAGGCATTGGAGTGTGCTGAGAATACTCCATAATGAGGGCTGAACTGATAGATCTGGAGGATTGGCAGCGCACGTGCCATGCCTCAACATCCACAATGGTAGAACCAGATATCTCTCTTATTGGATAGGGCTGATAGAATAATGGACAGAATTCGAATACTATAACAAATCAAACGATAATTGAACCCTTGAGCATACTTGATATTTCTGCTGTATCGGCAACCCCGGATTGCCGGTCGCGGATGCCGGCTCCCCGCATTACCGCATTGGGCGAAATGTCGGCTGCGCTTCTCGCCTTCATTCCCGATCGCATCTTTGGCTCTTCCTCTTCATCTTCTCCTGTCTCCAGGGGACTATGTTCCGTGCCATTGCTCGATCATCCCTCTTCTCTACTATTCCTACCAAACGCGCACCCCTCCCTCTCACTCTCACAGCCTCCCTCTTCACCCCTACCGCCCCCGCCAACATGAAGCATCATCTTATGGTCGGTACCTGGACCCCTCCAGGCCGCATCTACACTGTCGCCTTTGACGATGAGGCCCTCACCCTTGACCTCGTCAAGAAGACCGACATCCCTGAGGCTGAGCCTATCTCCTGGATGACTTTCTCGGTAGGCATAGCCTTCAATGCGTCCTCCGCTGCTCCCCGCTCACTCCCCTCCAGCACGACAAGAAGGCCATCTATGGCGCCGCCATGAAGAAATGGAACAGCTTCGCCGTCCACAGCCCCACGGAGATTGTCCACCAAGCCTCCCACCCCGTTGCTGGTCACGGTGTGTATTCCTTACCACTAAACCACTTGAATCCTGCTAATTCCTCAGAACTCGCCGCCAGCGCCGACACCAACACCCGCGCCATCTTCGTCCTCGCCGCCCACAAGCCCCCCTACAACGTCTACGGCAACCCCTTCTACAAATATGCCGGCTACGGCAACGTCTTCTCTGCCGGTCCCGATGGCGCTCTCGTCGAGAACATCCAGAACTACGAGTACGAGCCCAACACCGGTATCCACGGCATGGTCTTCGACCCCACCGAGACCTACCTCTACTCCGCCGATCTCCAGGCCAACAAGATCTGGACACACCTGAAGGACCCCGAAACCGGCAAGCTGACCCTGGTCGACTGCATCGAGGCTCCCTCTCCCGATGACCACCCCCGCTGGGTTGAGATGCACCCCAGCGGCAAATACCTGTACGCCCTGATGGAAGCTGGCAACCGTCTGGCCGTGTACGTCATCGACGAGCGCACCCACAAGCCCGTCTTCACCCACATCACATACCCCCTGTTGCCCCAGGGTCTGCCCCCGCGCAACAAGTACCGCGGCGACGTTACCTTCACTACCCGCAGCGGCGAGTACCTCTTTGCCACGACCCGTAGCAACCACTTCGATGTCACGGGATACATCACGGCGTTCAAGCTGGGCCCGAACGGTAACATTGAGAAGCAGCTGTTCATTCACCCTACGTCGACGAGTGGTGGACACTCGAACGCGGTTAGCCCGTGCGACTTTAGCGATGAGTGGTTGGCGCTGTGCGATGACCAGCTTGGATTTGTCGAGATCTACCGCTTCAAGGATGAGACGTTGGCTCGGGTTGCGCGTGTGGATATCCCTGAGAAGGGATTCGGTATGAATGCTATTTGGTATGATTAATGGAAAAGTATATAGAATGTAAATAGATGATGATATGCTTTATGCTTTAGCAGAGGATATACCAAATCACTGCAAAATACAATACTAAAAGCGATAGTACAGGAATCACCAGAAGTATCTCCTACACTACTAACTGACTACAGAGTAGAACAACAATCCCGCAGAGAATGTAATTGACACCTCAACATAGGCTAATACAAACACGTACTTACTACCACATCTAGGCACACTCTACTATTACTAATTCTAGCTTACTAGATCAGATTACTGCTCCGATTCCGCCCTAACCGAACAGACACTCCCTCCCCAGAACAATCCTCCTACAGCTCCTAGACCTTATAATCAAACCAGTACAAAATATCTAGCAAAAGCGCAAATATACAATCACAATATGACAAATCAGAACCTTCCAAGGCACTTCCATAACACATTTTACATAGCAAGATATAATAGCACTGAATAATATGCATCAATACCCAAATCCCCTCCTATACCACGCTTGAAATAAATAACTCAACCCGAACGAACCCGAACAGGTCCAGAACCACAACCGCCCTTCTTCAGACCCCTTAGCTTCAAACCCCATCCAAGTTTCAAGATATAGATCCCGAATACAAATCCCGATTCACACCATACAATGTCCCTATAACATAGTATACTAATGGTGATATCTGCAAGCAATCCTTGGTTCTTGTTCCTTGGCTAGGACTGACTGTGGCCACTGTATAAATACCGGTGATATATCATATCATATCATATCATATCATACTATCCTGTCATGTCATGTCATGTCATGTTATGATGTACCCACTATCGGCTTTATTAATTATAAGTACGTCGCTAACGGCGGCAGGATCCTCTTACTGTTTATTATACGAATACGAATACTGGTAGGACGTCAAGTAGTATATTTCTTGGATTAGTGGTTAGTGCGTCAACACTTGCGCATACTATGTATATAATAGTAGAAATTGATTCCTCGCAACGCCGTTAACTGGTAATCAATCAGTAGTTTACACCTCCCAAGTACCATTACTCCAAGCTAACCACTCACTACTCTACAAAGTATAGATAATAGTAGTAGTAAACATACTCGCACCGGCTGTATTCTCCGCCCAACCGGGATGCATCCCGACTCGATACTTCAACTTTCCCTGCATATGCGAACTGTCGGCAATTGATTGATCGATCGGTCGATCGATCATCAACCACCGAATTTGATCTATCAATCGAGAAGTCCGGGGTTCGTCCGAAATGCCAGATCCCGATGCAAGTAAACTAACTCTTATCAAGCTTTTTGATCTGACGAGTCCACATCACTGCCAAGTCCTCTGTATAGTACGCGGTTTCACCATGAAATTAGATCAGTAATGAAGTAAATCATTATATTCATGCGCTCGCTCTATGCAACATGCTATAGATGCAATATATGCGATCATGTTCATTAATCCCAAAATATAAGGAAAAAGGAAAAAGAAAAGAAAAAAACAAAGGAAAGATCCACCCACTCCAGCCCAATGCAACCCGAATAACGTATACACCCAGGGGAATCAATCAATCGAAAAAAGTCAAAGGTATCAGTATCAGTATCAGACATGCTCCCTCACCCCCACAGTACTATGTGACGTGCCTCCCGAGGAAGTCTGCGTCACTTCAAACGTCCGATGGATACCTAATCCCATGCCTAATTCCAAATCAGACCCCTCGGGGATTGTTCCATGCGTCCGCTCCGCGTTGCCCGAGGATCCCGTCAGTCGTTCCTCGCTGCTGTTCGATGACCCGCCGCGCCAGAGTCGCGTATCGGGGTCCACCTGGCTTTGGATCGTCGTTACGGTCACTGCCAGTTTGTCTGGCCGGAGACGGTTCTGCACGGCGGCTTCGTCGAGCGAGCCTAGTGGGTAGGGCCGGTCGTGGCTGCGTCCCATGCCGCCACTTTTGCCGAGCGGGCGCGAGCCGGAGGGACCGGGGAAAGGGGATGCGTCGTAGTTGTGGTCGGCGCTGGAGCCGAGCCATTTGCGGAGAAGGGGGCGGAGGGTGGCGAGACTGCCGGCGGTGATACCTAGGCCGCATTCGATGTTGGACCAGAGGGCGATTTCGACGGTTGCGTCTGGCTGAGGTTAGTAAGGGGTTTGTGTGGGTTGGGATAGAGTGTGGGGGGCGTACAGAGGAAGTCCCAGTCCGCGAAGGTGTGTACCCATGGGATACGGATGATGGTAGCAGAGGAGGCGCTGTTGAGGTTGGTTAGTTTCGTCGGTTATGCTTCGAAGCAGCGAGGTAACATACATGCATGCCATACTCAGAATGCCCACCACAGCCATCTTCGTTTTATGCTTCATGTGCAACTTGCGCACAAGAAAGATAGGCAAAATGCCGACAGTAAAATCGCACAGTGCTGCGAACCCACTGTATACGTAGGTCATGGCGATGACGATTTGAATGTCCATGCAGTGGCCGTGAATATCCGGGTTGAAGGCCTTGCGAGTCCAGAAGTAGGCAAGTGGCTTGCACTGCAGCAACATGATGAACATGAAGACCATGCCGGCAACGACGGTCAAGACCATGACGGTCCAGAGGATCCAGATATGGAGGCGTCGAACAGTGATGCGCATCAAGAAGATGCAGACGGAGATTTTACAGGCGACGGCCGCAAAACAATATGCGATCTCACAAAACCACCAGTACTATATTCGGCCCAGGTTAGGTTGAATGTAGGGGGTGAAAGGAATGGGAGTACCGACCTCCATGGCGGTTACACGCTGATGCGCATCCAAGTCTTTGAAACGTCGTCCAGTACCGTATATACTGCCTCCAATCATGCATCCCGAGAACATGGCGTAGAAGCCCTAGACATGCTGCTGATTAGAACACCATCCGTTGAAGTCAATAGAGGATCAGACGTACCATGGCCACCACCATGGCCCAGTCATCCCAGCCGAAGGCTCGCACGATCCATCCGCGCACATAACATCGTAGTATGACAGTCACACATGCAACTGACATAAAGGCGGCCGCAACCGCCTTGACCTCGAGGCTGCGGTCATCCTTAGCCATGCTACAGACGCAGTCGAGGCATGTTCGAGAAAGCTCAGCTCAGCTCCCGCGGGGTGGGGATGACCCAATATATGAGAAGGCCCGAAATGCCGGGGAGGTCCAGAACCAGTACCGGGACTAGCAGTAGACACGAAGCTAATCGCGTCGGATCCCAAACGGTGCAGGACTAGTCGGGTCGCAGATGTTCATCCGTCCTCCGCCAGGAGACGGTGATGGGCTTGTGCGCACTCCTAAAAGAGAAGGCGATCTACGTAGGACTAACTTGAGCCAGGCGAGCTGAGCAGGCTCGCTTAGTTGGACTGCAGGAAGTGTCAATTTGTTTCTACTTTTGCAGATGTTGGACCGTGTCCACGGTCCAGTATAATTGCGGTGGATTCAGGGCTGGCAGGCCGTTGTTGGGTCTTGTTTGTGGATGGGAGACGTGAGCGGACTCCCTTCGAGTCAGGGCCCGTCTGCGAATGGCTTCTTGATTTCTTAAGCGTGTTTGCGATTAGTCCGAATTTGGAGGTGGAGGAGATGCTGCTCCAGCCTGTCGGTAGTTTCAGTGCATCAGTGGAAGTCGATTGGGTGCGTGGTGCTGTCGATCCACTTCGGTCGGATTTGCCACCAGGAAAGGAAGCATCCCCGACGGACGAGTCAGGGACGGTGCAGAAATTTTATACTCTATCGGGACAGGGGCCGTCCCTCTCTAACTGTCATGGGCAGGGAGTCCCCGAATGCGAGGGGTAGAACCATGGATGGTAGGGAGTTTAGGTTGTTGGTTTGGCACTTGGGAGTTGCTGTGGTTGCGGTGGATTGAATCCAGGGGCTGGGAAGAAGAGGAACCGCGTTGCTTAACCGACGCGTTCCCAGCAAAAAATAGAAGTAAATAAAAACAGTAGGAGAAGAGAAAAACCCCTCTAACTTTCCAGGAGTTACTGTCCAAATAATTCAGACATCTTGTGTAGCGAAATCCCCGCCCCGTCAGAGATTGACAGCCTCACGACTCAAGCAGATCCTCTGCTATTTGGGAAAAAAGAGGGCTTCACCGGGTCTCCTTCGCCGGCACGGAAGCCCATCCGGAGGGTGGGGATAGCCCGCCTCGAGGCACGGATGGCAAACAACAAATTGAATGAATGCAAATAATGTGGTATGAAATCTCCAGCCATCAAAAGGAATTGCCACTATTGACTGTCGCTCAGATCCAATGCGGCATGCATCAATAGCCGGCTTCTCGAACGGTGTTGAATGCTCTGTGTGGATCCCTTCAGTATGTTTTGATTCTGACACTGAGCCATATCGACCACTCATGCCAGAAACCATTCATTTCAACCCGGTCAAATTGATGCCTACCTTTAGTTAGCCCGGCGGATTACAATCCTGACTCCGACTGCAGGATGCAGGATCATCTCAGTGAGCAATCTTACTGCTCCTGCATGGGCCCCTCCCCTCCTCCCTCCTTTTTGTGCAGGTCCCAGGCGGACGGTAGCCTCTTGACTTTCTTTTCCCATTTGGAGGAAAGTCGCGGACGCTAAAATGCCTGGCACAGGAACACTAAGCGGATCTAACATGGTCAATGGAGCGATTGATAGAACGCAAGAGCAGTCGACTAGCAGCACACTGCAGACAGCAGGCCCGCATGCCGAAGTGTAATTTAAATTGGCGTTAATTTTAGAAAGAAGTCCCCGAGCTGATCCCCAGTCAAGGCCATTGTTCCCTCTGAGTCTGGCATGTGAGCCCGACCCAGAAAAGATAACAGGAAAATAATACCGGCACATATATGGGGACCACATTGTGTGGACCTTCTTTGACTGCTGGCTGACGTTGGTCCCCGACGGAGAAAGGGCCTGTCACCTAGAAATCCAGTTTGGCCGTTTCACCATCGACAGGCCATGAGGTGTCCCAACGTAATCCTCATCTCAGTGACACACAGGCGTGCGTAGGAAAGGACCATCTTGCCACATGGAAGCCATTTGTCCGAGCGCGTCCGCAGCACGTGGCGGATTTTCCAAAAAAGAAACGACCAAGACGATTGACTGCGATAGATCAGATGCTGCCACTATCCGAGTTCCACCGCACACAAAACAGCCGACCAGCAACAAGCAAACAAAATTAAATCCAAATGCTTCTCACGGGATCGTAGCCCTCGCAAGTCCGCGGAGGCCCGGCAACGTATTAGACCAGGGTTGTTCCGCAATCTCCGTCGATCGGAAACCGTTTCCAGAAAGGCAAAAGTCCCTCGCAGCTCGCCACACACACAAACAAACAAACAGTAAGCAATGGTGCAGCAGGAACTCCTTCCCCCCTGAAGTCCGCCTGTAATAATTGCTTTTTTGATCTTCGTCTTGATCTCGGCACGTGCAACGGACAGGGACTGGCGGGATGAGTGACATTCCTAGAACATTCCTGATCGGCTACTTAGTGCCTGTCTTGCTTTTTCTGCTTTGGAGACTAGTCTTCTGACTGGTCTTCTTCAAGGGGTCTCCAGTGACTAGCCAGGCTAAATTTTCGTATCCCTGCAAGGACAAGACGGCTAGGATGAACCCATTCCCGCTGTTATAGCACGGTTAGGAGAACTTTCTGCAGCATGAGCATCCCCTGAGGACGGCTCACGTCGAGAAGCTAGCGACTGACTGCCGTCTAAGTCTGCATGTTCGCGATCCAAGTACTCTGTCAGTCAGCCGTCTTTGAGCGAAGCTCATAGCTGTCTCCGAATGACGGCTCGCAGGACCCTTTTCGAACTCTCCACTGCTTGATGCCCAACAGAGTATTATTATAATGACATCCGGATATCCCCTCAACAGGAAATTCAATATGCTCAGGCCCAAGTACCATCTAAACCTGGTTAGCATCAGTTAGTCTACGGACAGTCGGTCTGCCTATGGCCCAGGCTGGCCGGAGTGACCTACACCGACCAGGTGCAAATCAATGCCAGAGAGACAACGACTTTACGAAATCGCGCCTGGCTCTGTTGGTACACCTCGTTGTTCCGTTCATCCGGTGTCTAGAAGTTGCAAGACCATGATGTTTCACGCATTCTGTCAGACAGATCAAGTCCCCTACAGCATGTGACTGTTTCGGTGGCAATCAGTGGAATCGACATCAATGAACAGACTGCCAGGTCAGCAGATGTCTGAATAATTAAAGTCACGACGCAGTCCTGCATGCACTCATCCTACCGATGGCTGCATACCCGGGTTTACTCAACCCGCCAATTGCTTTGACCGCATCCAATGGAGGCATGGCTTCATTGCAATTGGAACCTCGTCCAAACTCACTGTACAACCTCGTGTAAACTTCACGTAGGCACGGGCAACTACCCCCGGTCGGCCCTGAGTTTCCGGAGTATACTCATGCCGCGGCGTTGATACTTAAAAGGGGATATCATGCCATCAATCGTACGATTGTTGACCGCTGCTCTACGCACAGGCATAATGCTCCTATCAAGGAATAGTAAGGTTCCTCCTAGACAACATGTTCCTTTCTCGTCGCAGGGAACACCTTCCTCATCGCTCTTGGCGGCTATCGAGCATTACCCGAGGTTTTTGGGTTATTGCGTAGCACTGGCGTCTGGTATCCTGCTCTATAAGTATGATTTAGTTATCGTGGGAAATGTTTCCGCTATGCCGGAGTTTCAGTAAGCACTGTTTCGAGTTGTGTCTTCGTAGCATCTCTGACCTCGCGAGACGCGATTTCGGCCACCGATTGAACGGAGCACTCATCATTCCGTCCTTATGGCTGAGCCTATGGGACGTAGCTAGTCCCCTTGGCGGTCTGGTTGGCGCTATAGCCGCAGGACAGCTACAAGATCGTGCCGGACGTCGCTTTTGCTTGGCCTTCGCGGCTATACTGTCAGCAGCTGCAGTTGCAGTCGCGTACTTGTCGAACGTCCCGAATGATATAGACGCCCACCGAGCAATCTTTCTATTCGCAAAGCTTGTGCAGGGTCTCGCCGTTCATATGATCACATGCACAACCCAAACATATATATCTGAGATCTTGCCTCCCGTGCTGCGAGGCCCCATGCTGGCCTTCTTTCCGATCTTCATCCTCCTAGGTCAATTGATGGGTAGTGTAGTGGTGTACAAGTCTCTAGATATTGCCGGAAGCCGATGAATTAAGAATTGCTTCATCTCATAGTGGCCGTTCTCTGCATTACCATTGCTAGTTGCAGCTATTCTCCCTGAAAGCCCGACGTATCTCATTCGAAAAGATCGAATAAATGCCGCTCACAAATCATTGCGACGACTTTATTCAGGCCGTGTCGAGTCGCAAAACTGTTTCGAGCAACTACGGGCATTCATTGAAAAAAGAGGATCGAGACGCGGCAAGCAAGGCGATTAGGTACCGTGACTGCTTCGGAGGCGTCGACCGGCGGCGTACCATGATTGTCATGTTTGCGAACCTTATCCCTTCGTTTTTCGGTCTACCCTTGTTATCTAAGACCAGCCATTTTCTGCAATTAGTTGGCATGAAGCACCACAGGAGCTTTCTGTTTCTACAAGCTGGAATTGGATTGGGGCTGGCAGCTAACCTCATCAGCATGCAGACCTTGTCCAGATTTGGCCGTGTGCCTCTGATTATTGTCAGCTTAAGCGTCTCGACCCTCGCTTGGATGGGTATTGGGATTGCCGGCTGCTTTTCAGGAACTATTAGCGCTTGGTAAGTTGTCTGGAAATGATATGCAATAACCAAGGCCAATGGTTGTTCAGGTACACGGGAATCACACTAGTCACGGTAATCGCGGCCTGCGGTATTGGTGCATGGCCAGCATCCTACGCTGTCGGTGGAGAGGCATCGTCTCTGCGGCTTCGGGCCAAGTCCCAAGGTTTGGGCTGGTTCGTTTCCGGATTCTCCAGCGTCGTTTCCAACCTCATCTTACCGTACATCTTCAACTCTGATCAAGGTACCCTGCGCGGTAAGACCGGTTTTGTATGTGCGGGTTTCTCGGCCATTGCCCTCGTGGGAACATGGCTTTACGTGCCAGAAATGAAAGATTGGACGCCCAGCGAGATTGACGATATGTTCGAAGCAGTCGTACCTGCACGGCAGTTCAGAAAGTGGTCCCCACTGACTGCTGATCCACTTTCTTCGGATCGTTCCCCACAAGCATGACTAGCCGACGCAGGCGACCAATCCACCGGCGCGTCAGTCGAGTACGAAATTTTGTTCAGCCCGAGCTGTTCCTGGGTGAGAGCCTTTTGGGAGCAGATCGACAGAAAGCCCAGCCGACGGATCTTCTTCTCGGCTCGAGCCAGAATGCACGGCCAAGGACAGCCTTAGAGAAAGACGTGCCAAGCCATGGCAGCCTGTAGTACAACAGTTCTAGAGGTTAGAAGAACGACCTGAAGGCCATTTGCGAAGACGTATGGAACAAAGGAATCTGAAACGGCCACACAGAACCATAATCAACGGCTGTCACAACAAACCCACTTAAGCATAACTCGTATGATCATGAGCTACAAAACGTCATTTGACATGTGTCATTTCGTTATTTGAACTAGATACAGGAAGTCATAAATGAAATCTACTAGCCTTATCGTTTCGTATATAGCGTTTCTGTGGGCCTCACAACGGCGGCACGGAATGCTCGGGCACTGTGAAACGAGGTTTGGGGCAGAGTCCATGGACAGAGAACTTGGACTCGCCATTCCCCGAACGAAGTCCGTGAAATCAGTGGGGCGATACTTCGCATCTTGGTAAAGCAGCGTTGTTCGGCACGCTGCTGGTAGGTCGAGCTTTGATGAAAGGAGTCTCGGCAAGAGTGTGGGCTTTTGGTCGCGTCATAAATGAGACTCGCGGGCAAACCGACGGGCTGCTATGGAACCCAACCCATGTATAGGTACATATACCATGTGAAGAGGCCGATCATCCCTGAGCTTCAGCAGCAGCCTGAATGGTCTTCTTCTTGCCCTTCCTGTAGACACGCTCATCGTTCGGATCGAAGCCTCCGTTACCCCACAGCGCCCAGTCCTCGGTTTCTCTCATATAGTCCTCCGGCGTGAACGAGGTACCGTCGGCCTTCTCCTTCTCCAAGAGCTGGAAGAACCTATCGTAGTCGATCCGGGAATGCCACTTGCCATTAACGTGGAACCGCTCGGACGCGATGAGCGCGCAACAACTGTGAGCATGCTCAGCGGCGATACCATACTTCAGACCACGGCGCTCTAGTTCTGCGTTGAGAGAAGTGACAAACTGCTGGATTTCTTCATAGAAAGGAACGTTCTGCATTGTCAGTCCAGCTCCGGCACTGGTGCTGGTACCGCAGTAAGTCACGCCTTTGATTTCAATAAAGCAAGGCAGAGCCTTCTCAACCAGGTTAGCGTATCCAATCACTTCATCGTCAATGTTGAATCCCTTGACCAGCGTAAGACGGAACACCGTCCGCTGGTAATGACGCTTTTCCCGGAGGATGTCCAAGCAGCGCTGGAAACGTTCCCAGAAGTCGCGGTGCAGAGGCCGATCGATCTTACGTAGGCTCTCGCGGTTACTAGCATCGATGGAGACATAGAGTTGCGTCACCCGATGCAATGTTTCAAGCTGGTCGGGGTGTTGGGCGTTGCAGACAAGGAAACTGGAGATGTGTTCGCTGTGCAACATGTCCAGGAAACGATTAATATGGGGATAGAAGATCGGCTCGCCGACCAAGCTGAGAGCACAGTGACGGATCCGCATAGCCTCGGCGAATCGCTCCGCACGCACACCTGGGACACCACGCATCATCTTGATCTTCTTGTAATGGCCTTCCTTGACTCCATTGAAAATGAGTTCCGGATCATCCACCTTCCAACGCCAAGTGGTGCCAACAGGATTGGTGCCATGACGCCAGCAGAAGATACATTTGTTGCTGCAAGAAAGCGAAGGAGTTGCCTCCATGCACAGGTGAGAGCGAATACCGTAGAATGAGAACTTATAACAGGAGCCACGACCACGCAGGGCGGACTTGGTCCAACGACAGATCTTGACGCCAGAGTGCGAACCAACAATGGTATATCCTTGCTTAGTCAGAGAGGCATAGGTGGGCGAGGTCTTGGGCACCATCTCTTTCTCAGTGGCGGGCGCAGGCGTCTTTCCACCCGTAGTGAAATCCACTGGGATAGGGGATCCGGATGCAGCGTCCGAGCTGAACTTGATATCTTCCAGGTCGACCACCGATTGATTCTTGTTCTTCTTCCGACCGTTTGCCTTGTCAGAGTCCGAACCTTCGTCGTCCAAATCCTCCTCATCACTTTCGAGCGGATCACCACTACCGGGGACACCTTCACCTAGACCGCCATTTTCGACAATATCACCGAGAATATCCTGTAGGCCACGGGACCACTCCTTCAAAGCCGAATCTGCGTCGCTCTTGACATCTCCAAAACCAAGAGGGTAGGCCCTCTTCCTGCCTGTGAGTTTCGCCATCCAGCGATCCAGTTCCTTGGCCTGTGAGCAGAAACCTTCCTCTTCGGTAGGCCATCCTTCCCTGTCGCCAAACCCGAAGACAGAATAGCCAGCGAGACCAGACAGAGGTGCAGTATCAATGCGGAAGTCATGATGAGTTTCATCGAGGTGACCGAGGAAGGTGTTCAAGATGGTATCGATATTGTAAGTCGGGATCAGCATGCAATATACATAGCGTGTTCCTGGCGAAGTCGAGGGGGGCTTCGGGGCGCTGATGAAGTAGTCATCAAAATCGACATAAGACAGGTCGTGAATCTGGGGGGGAAGGAGGCCTCGTTCCCGATTGTCAGGGTCGGCCCGATCGCGCGCAGCAGCACGCAAATCTTCCAGCAAGACTTGGGCATATCTCTCGGTGTTTGCGGTCAACGAAGCGAAGAAGATGATGGGTTGAATGAAGGAGACAGGGGGTTCCTGGTCAGAACCTCTACGCCGGCCAGCAACCTTTAGCGGCTTCTTTCCTGTGACCCGCTTCGGACCGGCCTGCTTTTGCGACGCGTCCTTCTCCACGACCGAGGGCTTTGAGTCGGCTTTTACATCCTTCTCCGTAGACTGGCTGATGGTCTTTTCACGTTTTTCCGGGGAATGGCTGCGAGGCGACGACGGGATGGAGGAAGCAGTAGCAATCTTGGACTTGGGCTGCAGCTTACGATAAGCGCGAACGAGAACGACAAGGGTAGCGAGAGCGAGGAGGAGAGGCAAGCGGTAGGAATGCCAGAAGGCCAAAAGACCTATGAAGATGAACTATTAGTGCTTGTGAGGTTGCAGAGGACGAGCAAACCTACCTTCGTTTGCAGATGCCTCCATGTTGAGTGTATCAAGACGAACAAACGAGTTTCGTGTGACAGTGGTGGGATCTGGGACCCCTTGTGGCCGCGTGAAGACTCAAAGAGGCGGGCCAGATAGAGAGTATGGGCGGGGGAGCACTGGGTGAACTAGTAGAAGTGAGAGGGATTGACGAAGTCCTGGGGACACATCGCAGTAACCGACTGAATCGGTACTTGGGCGAAGGCGAGTCGCAAGGACCGAAAACGATGAGACTAAGTCAGCCCAGACCCTTCTCTTGAGATAGAGGTCAATGCTAGATAGTAAGTAGTTCTGGGGTAGGATGGATGAACTTCCTCGGGATTTTCGAGGAAATTTTTGGCTCCAGCGGCAAGGCCTCTGATTGGCTCCCGCACTGAACTACCTGATAAGGAAGGTACTTTGGCAGTGTGTGTTCTAGAATCTGAGCCAAAGAGATCTTGTATCTAGTATAGGTAAAATAATATAATATATTATTTCTAATACGATGTGATTACAGGATTGGTTTTTCAAATAAGAGATCCATTAAGAAAGGAAGAGTAAGATGTGGTGACACCAATTTCCGATATCCCTGTATTAGATTAGTCGGATGGTTGCCCTTTTGGCTGAGCTCCCGGGTATTAATAATATACTATATATGTATGGGCACAAGTTGTTCCAGTGTCAATGCTTCTCATTCGTAGTTCAATAAGATTGATCCTATTAGTTATTTCTGATAACATGAGATTCTACATACAAGTTCAATATCAATGTGATGCACTGATAACTGCTAAATCATAGAATAGCTAATCCACGGTAGATGGTTGGACCGCTGGATATGGTAGTAGTTCTAACCGAATTTGGCTATAGGAAAAACACTATCAAACAAAGATTGTATTGTGGGAAAAGAGGCTGTCTAGCTACGTGACATACAAATCATCACCCAGATTGATTTGCAACCATTTTTATTGATACTGGGTAAAGTCTGTACATGAGGATTCAATGTCAACAGAATCTAGTGTCAATTCAAAACATCACTAAGCTATTCTCCTCAACCGGGAAAACTTCGCCCCCCACCATACTATTCCTGCCCATCGCAAGCCTGCCTTGCTGACAGTATATGGACACAAAGTACACCAGGCTTTGTAAAGTATCAGAAGATTTCTTATCATGTAGACCTCTTTGTAGTTATAATACTTCACTCTCTATGTTCTTAGCCTCTTTAAGCTTGTCTTGCTCAATGTATATTCATGTAAGTCTTGCCATGTTCTAAAACATCCCCTTAGCTTCCCTGTCGGGCCAATATCCCTGCAAAGAAATTTCTGCTACTAAGAAATATAGGATGATTCTCACCAAACATTTCTTTTTCCAGCTGTAACATTTTGTCTCTCAATTCCTCAGCCTCCTCAAGCTTGCCTTGACTGCGGTATGTCCACACCAAGTTCCTTGTGCATCGATACACTTCGACCCATATATTCTCGGCTTCTTTGAGCCTGTCTTGCTCGCGGTATACTGACACAAGATTTGCCATAATTGGAAAAAACTGGTCCAATATCTCTTTGGCTTCCCTAAGCCTGCCTTGCCGATGGTAAATAGGTACAAGATTTACCATTCTTTGAAGAGTACTGGGATGTTCCTCACCAGATACTTCTTTTTGCAGCTGTAATACTTTATCTCCTAGTTTCCCAGCCTCATCAATTTTATCTTGCTGATGGTAAAATGACATGAGGTTTGCCATGCTCTGAAGAGTGCTGGGATGTTTCTCACCAAGTACTTCTTTTTGCAGCTGTAACACTTCATCTTGTAGTTTCCCAGCCTCATTGATCCTGCCTTGTCCATGGTAAATTGAAATAAAATCTACCATACTTTGAAGAGTGCTGGGATGTTCCTCATCAAGTACTTTTTTTTGCAGCTGTAACATTTTGTCTTTAAGTTTCCCAGCCTCATCAAGTTTATCTTGCTGAAGATAAATTGACATGAGATTTGTCATGCTCTGAAGAGTGCAGGGATGTTTCTCACCAAGTATTTCTTGTTGCAGCTGTAATACTTTATCTCCTAATGTTTCAGCCTTATCAAACCTGTCTTGCCAATAGTAGATTGACACGAGGTTTGCCATGCTTTGAAGAGTACTGGGATGTTTTTTACCAAGTACTTCTTGTTGCAGCTGTAATACTTCATCTCCTAAGTGCTCAGCCTTAATGAGTTCAGCATGCCGATATGGTTGTGGCCAAAGATATCGATATTCTAGATCTCTGCTGGAAAGTTTCTGAGCAAGTCTTTCTCCTTGTATCTGCGGTACCTCAATTGCGATTGGATCAACTTACATTGATAGGCCCTGCTCGCTGTATAACTGAACGAGACTGGCCATTCCTTCAAGAACATGGGGGTGTGTATCACCAAGCTTTTGCCGCCGTAAATCCAGTACCTTGATCGCAAAGGCATCTGCAGGTATAGGATCGCCTCTCGAAGTCTGTGGTCTTATGAGGCCCTTTGACAAACACAGCATTTCCTGTAACGTATGTTCGATGGTGGAGAGCTGGTATCTGGGATTTCTCTCTTTGCATATTGCCTCCAATACCTCGATATATATATCTTCCACTGATAGATTGTAGTTCGCCTGGACTGAGTTTTCCGAAGCAAGGCCAAGCAGTGCATACACTCTATCCCTTATATCTGAACTTTTATGCCTTCCATATGTCATCAGCAATTCCGAAAGTGGTAAGTGCTGGTCATCTTTGGGAAGGCTATCCCAGAGTATTTTCTGCGCGATCATCACCGAACCTGTACATTTTGAGATACCCAATGAATCATGGTGCACGACATGGGTTTTTATCGTCTGGCGAAGAGATGCCAACTGATGCCAACTAAAGCTTTTTGTGCCGCAGTGAAACATGACGTCTTTTGCGAGCATGAGCTCTTGGACGATCCATATTCGACTCCAATATGGTTGCTCCAGTAGACTTTGTAATGCTCTCCCCAAAGCTGATTTGGTTTCTTTACTTGGTAAACCTGGGTTTGCGATATATCTAATAGCGAGTTCACTGGAATCGGTGGCTTGGCCTAACCATACCACCGTAAGTTCTGCTCCGGCATATATATCCCTCATCATGTTGACTTGGTGATTTCGCTCCGAAATACTGGACTGATCGATGCATATTGCGTCAATCCAGAAGAGCTGCCATCTCCGGCATAAGTTCATGGTACTCAGAAAGTTCCAAAGATTTTCTTGCACGTGAAACTCCATATCATCCAAATCAATTGGTTGCCTGTTATGCGGAGAACCCCAGGTATATGATAAAGCAACGTAAGATGGACAGCAGGCTCGGTCGACAACATGTAGTTTGCAGCGAACGGTTTCAGACGGTGAAGATGGCAGTAATTCAAGAAGCCTAATACATTTAGTGGACGGATCCAAAGGAGAATAGGTGAAAGCTTGCGCCATTTGACAGATGTAAAAAATCGCTTTGTAGTTTGTACTAAGCTTGTTGAACTTGTAATACTTCTTGTGATAAATTGACCCAGCACTTGCAAGATGATTCTTCGTTAACTATTTATCCAGCCTAGTTATCTAGCCGGGCTGACAAAATCCTAGCCTCACAGCCACATGATGACGTGGTCGGGCACCCACATGTGACAGGGTCAAAATCAACTGCAACAGTGTCAGATGGTCAGACCGAAGCCGAAAAGAGTAACCTAATCAGAGTTGAAGAAATTCTGATATTGGAAGAGAACTAATACAATATAAACTTTTATTAGTGTCAAACAATCTAAGTTATATGGCCTCCGGGTCGATACCTGTATGCATACCCACATCGAATACCAGCGTTATGAAAGAACTCGGCATTCGTGGGTCCGATAAGCAAATCATTATCCGAACAGATGAAACCCATTCGGATGGCATAGAAGTGCTACCGTTAATGAGCCATGCTAACAAAGCTTGACTGACTGTCTTTCACATCGAAATACTACAGACTCCTTTTTCCAATGGGTTTCTACTATACGTGGATTGACATTCTTATCTGCGTTGCTGACATTGCCCAAAAATGTAAAATTGGCCACATAGATGTGATTCCGCTAAATGCGATCCCATTCTCACTGTAGTTGACACTACCCAAAACTGATTCATCTTCCGACTGCGTTCAGGTGAGCAACTGCGTGCTCAGTGTTCCTTATCCAAAACGATCTACGAGGCACCTCGCGTCCACCATCGATTATCATCATAGCCACTGTAGTAATCAAAGAACAAGTTTAGCCCATTCCCAGTGACGTTCATTTTTGGCCAGCGTAGAGCCCCGTTCGAGATAACCACTTTCATGTAGATAGTTGCCTTTCTTGTCACGTCATTGTTTTGGATTTTTGTAGTAAGGATGTACCAATTATTGCCAGATATACCGATACTTTTATTATTGGCGACGGCGAGTAGGTAGCGGAGGTGGAGGCGGCTGACAGTGTTTCAAACATACAGGTGGAGGCGTTGGAGAGCGTGATGGTAGTGCAATAGGTGAGGGCTGTTCATTGAGTTAGTACTTGTCTTTCTTGTATCCATTTTCAAAATGCGTCAACGTACAGTTCTCGGGGGCAACGGGGACGGCGGTGGAAGTCCCTAGTATGTTTTATGAACAGTTTACTAGTATAATCGTCAAAAGCGAACCAATGTACAGTGGCTTCGTGCTCGAAGAATATCTTCTAAAGTCTATACTAGCATCTTTTCACACACAGACAGCCGAAATTGGGGCATAATACCGAGTAGTCGAAATACTGCTCGGAGGTGCTATGTACAGGGCCCAATATTAGCATGGAGGTAGACCTGAGAATTGAACTCTCTCAGTCTAGATGACTGTAGCTCTTCCACTGGTCCATGTTGATAGTTTAACAGTACCTTCTTCAATGGCGCGAAAGACTGATAACTGCAACATGTAGAATATATATAGAGTAGAGATAATGAAAAGCGTACGATGGTAAGTAGTTAGACTCACTCTTTCATCGTATCCAAAAATGTATAAGAATAATCTGGTTTCTTAAACTCGGACAAACGGATGCCATGAGATGAAGCCATAAACGCCAAGTTATAGGCCTTTTATAACCTCCAGGTGGGTAGGTCCTCCCTATATTCTCATTCAGTAGACGGGTCCATGTCTATGCTAATATTCACAATTCATAGTGATACTTTATATATGCAATTCATTGTGGTTTCTTTTCTCTTGTCTTCCATGACAATTGAATTGACAACCGACCTGTGAATCCCATGAACCCATGGTATACTGAATACCTAGGTAGTAAAGGGTAATTTAAGGACTGTTGCTTACTGCATATTTGGCAATCTCTTCAACCCTGGCCGGGTAATACCGGTTATAATACTGCTCTTTCCTCCATTATCTGTTCTATAGATGCCGACAATATTGACCAACGCATATGCACTTTAGGAGTTCCAGTTGATAGGCGTATGTATGGTTCTCCCAAACCACGCACATCTTGCCTACACTTAGCAACGGCAACATATGACAATAGCCATACCGTTTTCGAAGTAGTAGAATCATTGTTCTGTGCAAGGAGAAGCTTCTGCAATTTACAGATATGGTCCCTTCGGGCTTTCTCAGGGTAAACCATGAAGTACCCACTTATCAGTAAAGAACGAAAAGACATCTCAAAACTGGAAGAGTGACTGCTGGCAGGCCCTTCATCTGATGCTTCTTACTTTCTTTGGGACGATATAGCTTCCGGCTAGTGACGTGAATGGGCAGGCGCCAAGAGTATGATTCAATACTGACAAGTGCTAGCAGGTCTTACCCTATAAGCCCCTCTGATGTCCCTCAGGAGCTATCTCTTCACTAATTCAGGTTTCCAAAATGGCACCAGGAGTAGAACCGTAAGTGGACAGTCACTTATATTTCTTGGATCTACTTAACCGCTTTATTATTGACTAGCATACGACCCAGCTCCGAACTACCAGAGGTTATTCCTCAAGCCAAGAACGACAGCTCAAATACAAACAAAGAGAAATCAGTGCATGACGTCCACAAGGAAGAGCCTGTACATGAGACGTTTAAGTCGTACTCATTTACTAGTAAATGCTAACACTGATCTAGCAGTCTTTCTCTACATCTGGCTCGGGCTCAGGCACCTTCCAACATATTTCAAATCCTCCTATGGTCGTCAGACCAGATGAGTTTGATTACTTGCACGGTAGGATCTCTGATTGAAGAGGATATAGTATATACTGAATACAGCGGTAGCCGCTCCTGGCGCTTTCAAGTGCGCTTTATGTCGACAGTGGCATACGAAGAGATGTCCGTGGTTGATCAACTATTAAAATAGCCTTATTGATACTTTGCTCGCTTACGTGACGTTGGTCCTCTTGAGGGGTGCCCTGTTTGATGTCAAGGCTAGTAGTTTAATGATTGTTTGTTGTTATTTGCCATGGCAATTCCCCGGTTATCTCTACGTACAAGGGATTTTTAGGCAATGACACAAGTAGTCCGAGAAACCCAAATTCAGGACAACTCATCCTCAACCGGGAGCGCCCCCTCCGCCTGCATCTGAAGGGCAACCTGATCCACATCTCTCCACACCCGCAGCAGGTTCCCGCCAGCAACTTTGCCTGCATCCTCGTCACTAACTCCGCGTCTCAACAGCTCAGCGATCAAATCCGGATACTTAGACACATCCTCAAGACCGCGTGGAACAGTAGGTATACCGTCAAAATCGCTTCCCAATCCAACATGATCGAATCCGATCAAGTTCCCAATGTACATGATGTGGTCCACCACGTGCTCCAGAGTTGCATGCTCGGGATCAAACTCAGGCAGGCCATTCAGATCGTCAGAAGCAGTACACGAAATAAAGTCTGGGGAGAAGTTGACCATCACAATTGAGTTACGGGTTTTGACCAGCTCCAGAACATCATCCGGGACGTTGCGGGGATGAGGGCAGACTGCGTACGCAGAGCTGTGACTGAACATCACAGGAGCGCGGCTACCAGCCCAATCGTCTTTTCCAGCGCCCAAGACATCCCGCATAGTGTCCACACTAACGTGAGACAGGTCGACTATCATGCCAAGCCTGTTCATCTCGAAGACAAGATCCTTACCGGCCTCGCTCACTCCGTGCCAGACCGGGTCTGCCTTCTTGATGCCGCCGGGTATTTCGACAAGCGCTGCATCAGCATAGCGATTGTGGCAATTATGAGTGAGAGTTGCATATGCCACGCCGCGATCATAGAAGTTTCGCAAGTGAGCTAGGGAATTTCCGATCGAGTGAAGGCCCTCCATCCCAAGCGGGGAAATGATCTTTCCCTCCTTGAAGGCTTGAAGGGCAGTCGTGCCATTGGGTGGCTCAGAAAAGACATTGGGGTAAGCCTGTTGCAGGCGCAACATGACATCTACCTGTTCGATAGTCTGGCGGACACCTGGATAAACAATGTTAGTAAGAGTAAGAAACGTACGGAGGCACTGTGACTATCGTACTCGTTGCATAAGTTGCGTCGGAGAAATCGCTCCAATTCTTCGGACACTCTACAAAGACACTCCAGAAGGTGCCGCCTACTTTGCCCTCAGCGAGCCGTGGCAAATCGACGTGCCCCCGCAGGTTGCCCTCGGTGAAGGGGATTTTGAAATCATCGCTGTAGATGTGATTTCCGAAAACTTCGCGGATGAAGATGGGTAGATCATCGTGGCCGTCTGTAGTCGTTAGACAAGGCAATTGTAGGCATTCAAACCAAGCTACTCACCTATCAACGGGGTCTCCGACAGGATTTTGTCCACTCGCGACTGTGCGGGTTGTGGGTGAGTGCATCGGCGCGCATTGGTCAGAGTGACCAAAAAGCACGCAAGAACAAAGGTCAGAAGCACGCTGCCCATGTTGCGCGCCAGAGAAGAGTGAGGTTTTGGCTTTGCATCTGAGGTTGCGTAGCCGCGCGACGACTCCAGATCTAGTTTGGAATCCATTGTGCGAAGGGAAGGAGGGGTTGTGTAACCCGCGCTTTCCCGGCGTAGCGAGCGATGTGTGTTGATATTGAAAAATGCGGATGGGGATGGGGATGGATGAAGCTCGTTGTTATCGCCGGGGAGATAACCGGACTCCGATGAGTCAACTTGCGTATAGCAGCTGCAGGATTCAGGCTTAGCTCACGGAGTATTGATAAGCGACCGATCACATCATGTTCTGCTAGACGAACAGCAGCATATCAGAAACAATGTTACTGCTCAACAAATTGAAGTCATTATGTTTGTGAGCATCGCAGCTGACCATTTGTCGCATCCATATGTCTCCATAGGAAGGTTTTGAATAGGCTCATTGGGACTTCTGGGTATGTCGGTCACGTGACACGTAATAATGGTCGATTCATGCTACATCTCTCATGAAGTGACCGAGGTATGAAGGAGGTATCAAGTCAAGGCCAGCTAAGAGGATCTCAAAGGAGCTATAGCTATCTAGTGTGGATCTGCATTGATGATGAAAGACGTGGGAGGTGCCGTTGCCATCTACTTGGCACAAACGCCGGCTTGGCTTCAACATGAGATACGAGCATTCCAGTATAAAGCTAGAGAGTGCTGTCCCAAAGTTACTGCGATTCTGTCAAATCTTGAACATCTTGTGCAGCAGACTCTTTAGTGTGCTCAACCACTGTCAGCGCCGAATAGTTCCTCTCGAATAACCTCCAAATCCAGAAGCAAATCATCGGCAGAGTCGTACTCCTTGTGCCAGCATTTGCGAGTGATTTCGCTGCAAGCATGCGTATCCTCCGGGAATTGCTGCGATGCAAACCTATGCTCGACTCTTTCAAACCATGCATTTTCTCCATCAATGATGTCAGGAAACATATCATGCCCCATCATAATGAAATAGATAGTGCATCCCAGGGCAAAGAGATCTGTCTGCACATCTGCGTCAAAGGGGTCGCGACGAGGGCAATAAAACCTGCAAGGCTCTCCGCTCCACCCATCAAGAAGCACGGTTCCATCCTCTGACAAATGCTTCCCTTGGAAGTCAGCTAGCTTGGCGCGTAGCATTTCATCCAGAAGTATATTCCTGGGCTGTATGTCACAATGAAGAACTCCCCTACTGTGAACCCATGCAATTGCTTCGGCTATTTCTTGGCACCAAGTTAGTCTCTGCTCAAGGGATGGTGGTGGATGTGGATGTGCTGGTCTGAGATAGTAGTCATCTAGGTTCCCGTTGATCGCCCGCTCTAGATATAGCCAGCCGTTGTCTGTGCATCCTTTCACTTTGATGATATGCTCGTGATGTCCGACAATCTCGAGGAGGCGTCTCTCTGTTTCGAGCCGACTGGTGTCTGTGTCTTCAGGCGCGAGAGGGTATTTCAATACTGTAGTTTCATCGACTTCTCCTATCCATGCGCTTCCACCTGACGCAATCACACGTTTGACTCCAGGGGGACAGTACTCTTGGTACTCGTTTAATTCAGGCTTGTCCATACTTCTGGGATCGCTACTTTGATAATTGCCGGCGAACTGCCAGATATCAGAACACGATAACAAGAGGCAGTTGACTCAGATAATATATTGGACCTGGAGGGAAAGCAGAGAGTGGAATGTCTCGACAAACAATATCAACACGTGCCTTCCCATTTTCGTACACGTGGGTGCACGTGCTGATCTAGTTTGCATCGATTCACCTAATAAGGCAATCACTACAATATAACAATTCAAAACAGATCACGTTTTGTATTCGCAAATACAATATGTAAAAGACTAAGCTAACAACAAACTCAAAACAAGATTAGCAGCAGAAGGTCTGTTGTAAAGTTATGGGCTGTTGCTAGACAGTATTTATGGGTCTCACATGTGTAGATGTCAATTTTCATGACTCGGGACCATTGGTGATGTTACAACATTCACCTGCCACAAAGACGGCATTTCATGATGGTCCCAGACTCTCGTTGACACCTAAGTCACAGGGTATTATTCTTTTTTGTTCCTCCGAGCAAACCAATTTGTAAAGAACCTGAGTCCTCTGCTTCTATCAGGCGAGATCTTCTCATCACCATCGTCTAGATATTATTAGTCTTCGGATCTTCTACACGAATCTTGATCACTTTGCTCATACCAGGAGGATGAACACAAAGTGGACAGGCAATTTCTCGATCTTCAATTATCTCGTGCGACGAAGTGGTCAACCCATCCTTGCCATCATGTCCATTGCAACCAGGTCCATCTGGATTACTGCAGGATACCTTAGTTACTTCATGGCATTTATGCTTGGGGGAAGCAGTGCAACTCTCGTATTCTTTGTAGATATGGTGAGTTTCACACCCACATCCCCAGAATTCTAGACCACCAACACAGCCCTCGCACGTATTATCCATTGTTGTAGGATTTTTTCTTTTTTTGAACTGGTGAGAGCTAATGCTATTGATAGTGTCGTGTTGTGGAGAAGATGTGTCCAAATCAAGTTAGAATCGTGGCACAGAGGCTTTATATACATCGAGTCGTCCTGTCTAGGAAGATTCTGTTAGATTCCTACACTATCTCTTATTGATATCTGAACCGTCAATTTCCGTCGCTGTCTATTGAAGACATCGAGGTGGATGATCCCTCATTATTATCTCTAGACGCTGACGGGAGCTGCCAGTCTCTAAATGGTGGTAGAAATTGGAGGAAATAACAGCGAAGCATTCTATATCCAATTGTTCGCGGCTATTTTTACATTATACGCTTTCATATATCTTCAAATGGTATTGTGGCATATTTTCGAATATGTCTGTTGTCACGCCCATATTTTTTATCTATATAAGGTTGATTTACGTATACACGAGACTGGTTTTGGAGCATACGAAGACATAATTCAAGGTTATTAATAGTGGCAGATGGCGGCGCCGCTAGAATGTACGCAACTATCAGGGAAAACGTATCCAGCGAATCCAAGGCACATGGTCCACAGCCGGGGAAGCTCTCTTCGTCATCGCAGATTGACCCTTCCTTCAAAAAACATCTCGCTGACCAAAACCCATGATCCAACTATCCGTGCCAAAAGCTTATGCAGCTTATCCAACCCCTATTTAGCCAGTGATCATGCGACTTGATCGAGATAAACCAGTTTCCAACTTCAGACTGAGCTTACAAGTCCTTTTCTAGCTTCAGGAGACACAGCGTGAGCTATCTATAACCTGTCCCCGCCACCGACATCACGGTACCATTCCAGCCAGCATCTAGGGGTGGCGTCTTATCGCCAGACTTAAGACTATCATTTGTCCAATTGGTCTTTCTGTCGATGCTTTTCCGGTTCAACAACTAGTGGGGATCGTCGCATTTTTCTCGCCAGGCTGCAGTGATGACTTCATAGTCAACAAAGGCTGGGCAACGCTGCATAATAAGCACTCAAAAGACGATGTACCTTGATATAAGCAGAAGCTCCTGCTAAGCTCCCCAACAAGATCGTCTCCCAGCGATCATCCACAGAACACGTTTGTGCCTCGTTATAATTTGATCACCGTTTCATCCTCAATCATCTGGTTTCCACTGGACGATCAACACCCCGAAAGAGCAAGTCACGCAAGGGATGCCGTTACTCCAGATGGAGGATTTGCAGCAGCATTCTTCGCATCCCATACCGCATCACCAACAAGGGCAAGATAGGCCTGGGAAAATCCGGTCACTTTGGTACATTGCGCAAGCAACCCGTTTTGTTGCCTCCCTTGCGATTGGCGATGGATAGATCATGTATTTCTCCGGGTCGAGATTTGATCGGAGTTGGGGAAAGCTTTTGCCCAGCGTGGCACTCTTCCCTGTTGGGGATCGGCCGCATTCCAGTGCCCCGCTGGTAGTGTTCTCTTTGGCCTTGGGAGAATTGATAGCTAAAATGCCGTGCGTGTATCGTGCTCCCCCATTGCATTGGATGTGTTATATAAATTTTCCGGTTGGGACTTGGAAAGTGCTCGGTTTTTCTTGTGTTTGGTGATTATCCCCTGTCTTATCACCAGAGGTCCGATGGAGTCAACTCAGACAACCCAAGAAACAACAAACACCAAGTCATCCGAGGACTATATTTCTACGGACAATGGTGACCATGAGAGCAATGATTCGGTCACGAATCCCAAGTTGAGCATTGATATCGATGCCGCCCCAGATGGCGGATATGGATGGGTGATCGTTGCGTGCGTGTTCTGGCTACAAGTCCACACCTGGGGTATCAATGGGGTGAGTACACTGCAGCAGAGCTACTAGCAAAGCGGCAACAGATCTTCTAACTGCACTAGAGTTATGGCGTCTTTTTGTCCTACTACATGGACAACAACATCTACCCCGGCACCAGTTCACTCGCCTACGCCTTTATCGGCGGTCTCGCTATCGGCTGCGCCTACCTGATGGCACCCGTCACCGTGTTCCTCATCCGCCGATACGGCACCCACGCGACAATTATCACGGGAATCATCATCCAAACAGCCGGACTGATCCTCGCCTCCTTTACCACCCGCGTATGGCAACTCTTTCTTACCGAGGGCGTCTGTTTCGGTGTCGGCATGGGCATCATCTACATGACCTATCTTGGCGTTCCGCCCCAATGGTTCGACAAGAAGAGCAGCGTTGCAAACGCCATTCCCGCCGCTGGTGCCGGAACCGGTGGTCTCATTTACTCCCTTGGGATTGAAGCGATGATCGAGAATCTCGGTCTCCCCTGGACATTCCGAACGTTAGCCATCATCTCTTTGGTCGTGAACCTCGTGTGCGCGGCCTTCCTCCGCGACCGCAACAAAGCCACCGCCAGTCGACATGTCGCATTTAACTTTCCTCTGCTAAAGAAATTTGAAGTTCTACTCCTTATCGGCTGGGCCATTTTCAGCACCTTTGGCTTCGTCTCCATTAACTTCAGCCTACCCAACTTTGCCATCTCGATCGGGTTGACCGCGCGCCAGAGCAGTGTGGTCGGCGCGCTGCACAATCTGGGACAGGGTATCGGCCGGCCACTTATCGGCTTATTCAGTGAC